GCAACAAGGAAAAAGTTCACCTTGGGTAGTAGGCAATGCTTGGAAAAGCTTGACTGGATGTCAAGTCCCAAGCACTGTGCCCAGCTCGACCACGCTACACATGCCGGGTCGCTGTCACCGTGTGCCCCGTGGATGCCGTCGGTGTCGGGCCCATTAGCACCCTGTCCTCGCATGGCCACGACATCGTGTTGTACTCGTTGTCCTTATGCACTGTGCGCATCTCCTTTTCTCAGCATCTGCGCGGCTCCTGATCCTCGCTCTTGTCCCCATATCGGACCCCCCCTTCCCCTCCCTTCTTTCTTCTTTTGGGGACACGGCCGCCCGCACGCCTCCCTCATCGAGCGAACCCTCTCTCCTCTCCTTTATTTCCCCCTATGCTCGCTTGCGCAGGGAGCGCGCCATGGCTGACTTTATCCCCACAGCATGAACCGACAGTGTATCCCATCCATGCTGTCTCCACTTCCGGTGCGTTGCGCCCCACCTCCATTCGCCACTATAAGATGCCCTTGGTCCTTTCTCTCCTTCTTCATCCCCATTCCCTCGCATTCGAAGTAGAGCTACGAGATCCAGTCGTCATTGTGGAACTAGGCTCGTCAGTTCGAGGTGATTGTGTAATCTGAGAAAAAGAAAGGATCTGGTTTTTGAAGAAGTTTAAGTCTACCGTTGGTTAGTTCGGTCTTAGGGTTCACAATGTTTGACTTCTCAGTCTCCTGTTTCTTGATCTATTGGTCATACGCCATGTTTTGGATAATCATTATCTTGTTGTTTCTCCATTGCCCTCATCTATCTCGACTTCTGGATTAAGCCTCGGTTGTATTAGGTTGCTCTTAACCATGTAACTTTAAATCTCAGTGTAATTTAGCGTTCGATGTCGTGTAATTTCAGATTTACAAAATGTAATCGTGTTTTCCCCTCTTTTGATTCTTGCTCCGAATCTTGGGACGAGATTCTTTTTTAGGTTGGTTGGTTGTAACACCTCGGGTGTTACGAGCTCGCTAAGCACTGAGATTATGGCCTGATAAATAGATCTATAAATATAGTGAGTTAGTTACTTAAATGTGTTAATGAAAATCTTAACAAGAAAATAGGAAAAATAGTTTTAATTGTTTAGTACGAAAAGCAATTTCTGTAAACAAGAATAAAATATAACTTGTATTTAGTACTTGAATAAAATTTGGAGCGCAAGTTTAATAGATGAAAATGCAACTCTTGTTTTGGTGAATAAAAGTTGTTCAATAGTATATTTAATAGCTTAGAAATCGAATACGACATTTAAACTAGACCTTTCGTGAATCAGCGGGAAGTTGAAATTATAGTTAGGATGCTATTTTTGACTATTTATATTAAGCAAAATAATTAAGAGTCGTTCAAATGTTTTGCTCCTGTGGGTTAGTATGGATTATGGGCTATGTCATGCTATGTTTGTTAGTTGAAATCATCGAGGTTTAGACCTTGCAATAATTATGGCAAAATGCTTAGGAGTGTTAGTTCTAACTGAAACCTTGAATTCTTTTAAGTATGAAATGATAGTAGACAATGTCATTTTGGCAATTAATTTCTGAAAGTTTAGTTAAACACTAGATTCGTGTTTTTGTACTTTTGATTGTCCCAAGGTGAGCACTCGAGAATGGTGTAGGTTGTAGTCGTGTTGAGTGTCACGTGAATCTCGGAAAAATTTGCCTAAGTTCATTTGAACGCGCTACGAGCTCTATGTCAATGCTCTACCGCGAACCGGAACTTCGAAGACGAACTCATCTTGGCACGCATGTATCATCCTCTCGGGTGGTTCTTTTGTTGTGTGGATTGCTGCATTAGATAGCTGATAAGATCAACTTTAGAGTCGTGGAATTAGTCAAACCTCAATCGTGATCGTAGCAGTTTTTCGTTCGCTTTAAAACTCGTGCAAAGCTGTTGTCAACCGTAATGCCGTCCGCGCGCGCGTGCCGGGTGGTGCTCTTGTCCGTTGCCGTTCGGTCACTACAGCGCTTGCTCTCAGCCGTTCATCCCACCTACTCAAGCTGCTGCTATCGCGTACTGCCTTCGCCCCTACTCTCTCTCTCTGTCTCTCTCTCTCTCTCTCACTCTGCTCCTGTCCGTGTCCTAGCCATGATGCCTGTCTGCTGTCTCGTGCGTCATTAAGCCATGACCGAGCTGTTGTCCTTGCCTCTGCTGTCTCTCACTCTCTCAGCCTCTCCCTTTGCTTGCCTCTGCCGAGCGAAGCGCACGCCATGGCCGCCGCAGCGAGCTGCTGCTCTCACCCTCCCCACTCTGCTTCTCCCTCTATTGCTCGCGAACACCATGGATGACAGCCACCTTGTGCCAGGCTAGCTCCGTCTCCATCCCCACACCCCCGCCGCTGCGTCGCCACCCGCGCACTGCAGCATCGCCGCCGTAGTGACCGCCTTCGTGCCGCTTGTCCACTGCCGCCGTCCGTGGCGACAACTCTTCGGGCTGTGGTCAGGCTTGCCACGGCCACCGGCACCTACGGCCAGGATCTCCTCTGCCCCTATTGTGCCTCCTCCGCCGACCCGCACCGCCGCCGGAAGCCGCCGTCGTCGGCACAGCCATCGCTGCCACCGCCTCCTCCCACGGCCAGTAGGCCGAGGGCCGCCTCGGGCCACACTGCGAGTGCCTACGGGCATGCCTCGTAGCCACCCAGCCCGGCCAGCTCTTCCCAGCCTCCACCGGCCTTTCTCCGGCTGGGTCCCAGCCTCCCGACGGCTGCTGTCTCTAGTTTTCCATGCTCTGTGTACAAGCTGAAGAAGAGAGAATGTGAGAAAATGAAATAGAAACTTTTCTAGGGTTCCCAATGCAAAAACTCCGGTGCATAACCCCTACTTTTCTACACTTTATATTACATTGTGCATTAAGTTTTAAGGAGTTAAATGAAACCCACTTGCATATATATATATATATATCTTGATCCTATGAGTCTTACTAGTATGACAGAATCGTGTAGATTCCTATCCTACAGGACTTCGGTAGAAGTCGAGTGATTGCCTATCACTCACAAGAGATAGAAAAGATATTAATATTGCTATTATATTGTTATCACCTAGAAAATATATATGAATGATAATTGGAGACCGGGTGAAATGGTACTTTAGATCTGGACTTGATTTGGCTTTCGAGCGAGGCTCGGGTTACACTTGTTCCGCCTATGTCGGTTAAGGACCGGCCGTTGCAATGGATGGTAGTCAGGTCACAGATTTATTATCCTGAACACATACTTGTGTATGGGCGTGGGAAAACTCATTGCTCTCTTGTCATGGGTTCTACCTCTTTTCAGACCGACTGATTGGAGGTGGGGATGATGGAGGTCTAAGCACCGCACTGAGTCCGAGACTCAGGAGCGGGGGCTTGGAGTCCTAAGTTTGGACGGGGACCTAGACCCCATGACAGGAGGGTAGTGGGTTGGTCTTGCTTGTGCCTAGAGTACAAGCGGAGCGTGTGTTTCAGGGTACCCAGCTGGGGTATATTGGTTCACGAATCGTCGGGTGATCTGGTACGACTTGTCTACAGTATAGCACCGTAATAAAAACTAGAAAATGAAAGATGTAAAAGTGGTTCTAATTGATTACCACCTGCTTGAAAGTAGCACATGTGGTTACATAGAATGGTTAGTTAATGAACTAATGATGACTGCTAATAAAATTGAATATAAGGACGCACGTTTAGTAATGCTCCTGTAGATGCAATAAACCCACAAGCCAGATAGCATTGCATACCCTTATAGTCTTTTCTTTTCTTCTGTCGGGTAAGTCTTGCTGAGTACAATTGAGTGTTCAGGGTTTTATTTTCCCCTGTTGCAGGTGACAGGTGGATACTAGAGCTGACTCTTGTGTGTAGATCCCTCCTAATAGGCTCAAAGATGATTCCTTTACGCTGTGATCATAATTTTATTTATAACTCTCACTAAATGTTTTTATAAATAGAAGTTTTATAATCTATTGTCATAGTTCATATATCAATGCTTTATCATGTCATGAATATATATTTATTTTCGTTGTAACTCTGATCATATGTTTATATTCCGCTGTTAAATTAAATTGTTCATGCCTTTGATAACATGATCATATTTCGCTATTATGAACAATAAATATTATACTCTGTTGTTGCATGGAAAGTGATGTAAGAAATGGCTAAAATGTTGTAAGCTTTATTCCCTTATTTGTGACCCTGATGGAAAAATGTGGATTTCCGGGTTCTTCCTTGGGGGTGTGCTCGACAGAACTGCGTAATTTAGTGCCATCCCTTGAGTATTTAGTGTCTAATGAAAGACAAGTACTCTTGGGAAAGCATTAGATTAGGCGGTTTTGCCACAGCGCGGGCGCGGTGGCCGGCGCGGGCACGGGCTCGATGGTTCGGGGAGCGGTAGAGAGAGATAAGAAGAGAGAAAGGAAGGGACGGCCATACGTAAGACAGGGCTTGACGTCAATAATCACGGCACAAAGATCTACGGCGCCAAGCTCGACGCTAGGATCTACGGCGCCAAGCTAGCTGCCAAGTCACCGCCACGTCCGCGTCGAGCCCAAAACCTATGCGCCAAAATTTATGACGCTGAGACGTATAAGCTCGGCGCCACCAACGATAAAACCGAGCTAAGAGTCCAGATAAAAGCGAGCTAAGATTCTAGATTTTGAAATCAAACCTAAAGTCTGCGGCGCAAACACACCAGCCGACCAGCCTACCACCGCTCCGCCACTCCACGGCGGTTGATCTGCAAGGCCTCAACCTCCCCTACCGGCGAGGCAACAGGGGCCTTTGACTAGCTCAGCCGCCCGGCCGGGAAGAGCGCGACTCTCCTTCACGCCCCCACACCCCTGTAAGGCTGTAAGCACTGGCACTCCCGCGCCCTTTCTAGTTGCGGCAGGGATTTCTCCTCGATTCCGATTTCTGTCTTTCTCCTTTTGCGACCCATCTTGATGCCTTCATCGCCGCCCAAAGGAAGAAAAGAAATAATCTCCAGAACAATTTCCTTTTTGGTCTCAGAGACAGAGATGGCGTCGTCGTCCGAGATGCGCTCCGGCCTAGACAGGTGCGTGATGCCTGCTCTCGCCGCATCCAACACAGGCACTCTTCCACTGGACACTATTTACGAGATCCTGCTGCACCTCCCGGCCAAGGATCTCTGCCGCCTGCGCGCCGTGTGCCGGCCGTGGCGGGCCCTCCTCTCAGATCCGCAGTTCGCCGCGGCCCACGCCAGACGCCCCCCGGGGCCGCTTCTCATTGCTGCCTTGTGGAAATCATGATCTATCCGGCCACAGCCTTAAGAAGGTGCCTAAGAAGTATGGCGACAGGGTTGTCAGCATGGCCAAAGATCTTGTTCATGTCAGTAATATAGGAAGCTTCAACAGCAGATTGCTGAACCCAGCTACTGGAACTATGTATTACTTCTCAGACAGGAAAGGACAAGGTGCCTCATATTTATTTGGACAGAGTGCTAGCAAAGGCGAGCACAAGGTGCTTGGAAGGTTTGATAAGATTGGTTCAGGTAGGCCTATTCATCAGCTGATTGAGGTCTTCACGCTCAACAATGGCGGCCATGCAATTTGGAGGGAAAATCAGGCCCCCCTCCACGGAGGGTTGCAGCCAATAGGTGGACTCATGTGGTCATTGATGGGGTTGCCTACCTTTTGTCTTGGGATGCCTTTTATGAGCTGACCTTCTCTAGGAGAGTTAACAGGGAAGACATGATAATTACATTTGACCTTGAGACAGAGGAATGGGGGACTATCTTGGGACTCAATATCAGCTTTCTTGGTAATGCTTTTCAGGTGCTTCCTGGTTGGCTTACCTTGTCTGACCTGAATGGCTCTTTGGCTGTTGTGTGCTTGTATGGCCTAGTCCCTAGTATGGACATATGGATTTCGATAGACATTGCAAAGGGTGACTGGGTCAAGCGGTATAGCATAACATTTGAACAATATGACATGCTTTCCTATGTGCATCCTTTGTTGGTCCTAGATGACCAGAGGGTAGTCATATATATAGAAGACAAGGAATTACTACAGATTTATAACCCAAGAACGAACACTTTCACAAATGTTGTGGAGCTGGAGCACTGCTCTTCAATTAGTTTGTATACAGGAAACCTGTTGAGCTTGAAGTGTTGAGAACTAATGACGTGAGTATTCTTATATAATCTTTATTTCTTGCTTTTCCCCCAGATGCATCTGTATGAATAAATGTGTTCTTTCCTGTTTACATTATAGGTACTTCTCATTTACTGGTGGGAAGGAAGTGATATACCAGTACTGATGTCTATCAGGGAGTAAGGTTTAGCCTTTGAAGCTGCTTCCGCTTGAGATGTTAGTAGTGTTTCTGATTATTGTTATCAAGGGTGATAGAGACTATGCACATCCCCTTTTCAGTTTCAGTATGTCAGTTGGTGATGTATGGCCAAAGAACTTTTTCCTTCTAATGTTGGCCTTTTACCCCATGTTTCATATATTCTGCTGGATTGAGTAGGTGTAATGTTTACTGTTCTGTGAGGCTTAGAAAGTCTGCTACAAAGCACATAAGGCATAATGGAATCTGTTACTTGACTCAAATGTATGCATGAGGATTGAGGACATTTGGATGTTATAATCCGTAATCCATCCTAATAGTTTGATTGCATAGTAAGTAATAGAGTTGTTTTGATGAAGTCGCTGCTTTTCTTCAAAGCTTCGGAACAGGGAACCCACCTCTTTCCGTTGTTTGTAGCAACTGCCATTTTTTATGTTTGGCTTTGGCATTTTGTTTCCACTCTTCTATGTTACTCCGTCTGTTTTTATTTACATATCATATTAAGTTTGTCCTAAGTCAAACATTTTTATCTTTGATCATAGATTTTCTAAAAATTATATAGGTTTATGATATAATAAGATTTATGTTTTTAGATTCACTATCAAGAACACTTTCATAATATATAATCCATATGTTGTAAAGTTGTAAGGATTTTTCAAAATGGATGATCAAAATTCGTAATGTTTGACTTGGGACAAACCTAATGTGACATGTAAAAAAAAACTGGGGGAGTAGAATGCTCAATCTTTACTCGTTGAATTTTTTTGGTGTACACAGAGTTCTGACCAAAGTGCAATTGTAGTCAACTAAGTTGTTAATAGCTGGTAAATGGTTTCCCATACGTTGGAAAACATGCAGCTGAAAAGCCAGGCTGAAAGATACTGTTTGCTGATTTGTTGTGAAAGAAAAATACTATAACATGGCTGATAAGTAAGGCTGATAAGTTCAAGCGAACAAGTGGTGATTTCCACGTTGGAACTGATTTCCCATCTGAAACAACTCTGATTGATAGGGCTTAACCCCTCCGGAACCTTCTCCGGCTCTTGAAATGAAACCTGCAACGGTACATTGAAAGTGATGTCGTGTTGCACCAAAAAATCTAGTTGGTTGGTAGAGACTCATGATTCATGACAAATGCCCTGTTCAGCTGGCTAGAAAAACGGTTGATGCTGATGCTAATTTGTTATGAGAGAAAAACACTGTTATTTCACTGAAACGGTACGGCTGATAAGTTCAAGCGTACATGACCAAAATTTGCTAAAAGACGTGCTTATTAACCAGAGTCCATTTTATGTTTTCTCTATCCAGTTCCAAACCTGTATTCGAAAATATCTGATAACATCCTTATCTCTAAAGAATATAGTACCGGTTAAAACAATCTAAAAGTTATTCCTGTGCCTAATGATTATTATATTAATTTTATAATATTACTAATATGTACTCTTTTCATTCCAAACTATAAAATGTTTTGACTTTTTTAATACATAGCTTTTTGTTATGCATTTTGATATCGGAAATGCTCCTTATAGTGTGTCCGGAGCGACCCAGCACTCGCCCCCGCCCGCTCGCTCTGCTCGCGAGACAGACCCCGTCCTCGCCTACGCCTCGCCCGCTCGGCCCCCTACCTCCCACCCGTGCCGCGCATGGCGAGCCCGATGCGCTAGGCACTCGCTCGCTCGCTCCCGGACTCGCGCCTCCCGTCGCGACTGTGCTCCATCCGCCTGCCCCTGCCGAGGTCCGTACCGCCACCGAGCTCCACACCGGCGACCTCCGCGCCACTCCGCGGCTTTGAGCTCCATGCCGGCGTCGAGTTCCGTATTGACGAGCCTTTATTCATCCAAGCACCAAGCAGACGCTACGCTAAAAGCGCATGTTGCAACAATATGTTTTTAATGTTTTCGAGGTATGTTGCAAGTGTTGCATATTGATGTTGCAAAAGTAGATCTGGATATTGCACATGTTGTAATGGCTAAGTGTATGTTTCAAAACTTTCTTATGTTCCAGACGAATGTTGCAAGTGTTTTGTCTGGATGTTGCAAAAGTAGATCTAGATGTTGCAAATATATGTTTCACGTGTTTTCAGGTGTTTCATGCGTATGTTTGCAAGTGTTTTATCTGGATGATGCATATGTTTTCAATGATTTTCAAGCGTTTTCGCAAGTGTCAGATGCTTGTTTCAAGTGTTTCATCTGTCTTCTTTTGTATATTGCAACTGTTACATCAGGATGTTTCAAAAGTAGATCGGGTGCTGCACATGTGATGCGCGTGGGAAGCGGCCGGTGGCATGGGCGACGTCCGGGGCGGCGCAGGACCACTACTGGTGCGCTCCCTCACGAGCCCGACGCGCTAAGCGCTCGTTCGCTCCTAATGCGGGCAGTGTCTGGACGCTAGCGCCTTGATTGGACGTCTGGGCGCTAGCAAGTCCATTTTGATATACACTATGTCTAGATACATAGTAAAAACAATATATATATATAGGAAATTCAAAATGTTTTATAATTTAGAATGAATGGAGTACCATTTAAACTATTTAAAGTAATGACTAATAATATTAATTTCAATGTAAATAAGGATATCTAAAACAACTTTAATTAATTTTTATATAATATGTTAATTTCAGTTAATACAACCACTGATATATAATATAGTTTTAAACAGTAGGTATTCAACTTTAAAATGAAACTATTTAAAGGTTATGCCCATGAGTAATTAGTACATCGTGTTTTATCCTAAATACTCTCTTATAGACATGTAGATTCTGATATGCACTTCTAAATATATATTAAAAACAATGTATTTAGTAAAGGCCAAAACGTCTTATAATTTTAAACAGAGAGAGTATTAATGATGCACATATAATTACGTGATTATTGATTTCTAATTAATATAGTTAATATTATTTTTTAATTATAATTAATATGATAAATAGTATGACTAACAACGTTTATTATTGTTTATCGATGTGTAGTAATACTTATTTCGGTGTCTCATCATATGATTTTGTTTCTCTAAAATTATTGTTCGATGTTTATAACCCAGAGTCCATCCAATTTATTTCTTATAATAAAGCTAATGTATATCCGAATGCAAATCTGTGTTCAAACTATCCATTTTGTATTAGTACCTGAGAATATTTGAATACATATCCTGATATCCATATCAAACAAAAAATATGGTAAGCAATAATATTCATATCCTGTTCCATGCGTTTGCACTTTTCCACTCCTAGCGCTGAACCTAGGCACCGGCAAAGCATCGCAGCGCGCAGGGTAAAGGTACCGTCCCCCGATGTACTACCTGGCAACAAAGAGCGGAAGCCGGCTACAAAATTAAAAAAAAAAAAAATCCACTACACTTCAGGGGTCACTGAGCAGCTATCTTGCTACTTGCTAGGACTGGCGAAAGAGCTTTATGTGCGTGTACTGAATATAGTTGCTTGTTGACTGTCCATCACAAATTCACAATGATATCAATGTTGCTCAACGATCTCAGGTTTCTAGTGGACAAGCAATACACATTCTATAATTCATATCAACTACTATTTCTGATCATGGAAGGATAGCAATATATGCATAACGAGTTCAAGCCATGTAAGAGTAAGAGTATACGATCCAATAACAAGCAGGTGGAATCAAGTTTTCTGTCTTCTTCAGAGGTGAGCGCTGAACTTCTAAAAAAGCATAGCATGAATCTGTCTCCATTCCTTCATATAGCTTCAGCTTTCAGGATTAAGTTTTCAGCTTCTCCCTCCAGCAAACAACTGCTTCCTGCAAATTTTAGGTGAAAATTGCAACAGATACACCAAGGTTAAAAAATGATGGAACTGTCTTTGCTAGAGATAGCGTCAAAATGTTTCAAAATATGCAGAAAAAAAGGAGCAAAATAGTGTTGCCAGACAGGTTAAAAGAAAGTGATCCAGTGACATCAATATGCTCAGTCACCACTTTAGCTCAAAAAAGAAAAAGTACAGGCATATTTGGGTGATCGTGCTATTATTTCCTATACGGTGTTTCCAATTAACTAGGCACAATAATTGTTGACAATGATGTTTGTACCTTGTTATACTGATGCTGCATTTTATACATTTATTTTTCATGGAGAAACTCAGGCTATCAGTATTTAGCTGCAAAAAGTGAGTGGTAATGTGTCAGGTGTCAAGTAGTAGTAAAATGGCTGCATTTTAAAAGGCATTGTTCTCAGGACATTTTTGCAGAACGTTTTCCACTTGTCATGAGATTGATTGCTCATTAAGACTAATCAATTAGCAAAGTGACTACATTGTAAAAACCAAAAAGTTCAAGATTACTTGATCTCTACTATGTGACAGTGAATCATAACATTCTCCTATATTGTATGGGTTTTAGAAGTTTGATTTTTCCTGAACAAGATTTCTGTTCCATGCCATTTTTATATTTTGCACTACATTCTAGAGTTTGTAGTATTCTTATGCAGCATGATAAGACTAGAGAAACTCTTCCATTATATTCCCTTTTTGCTGTGGCAGTATTCAGAACAAATTTTGCACGGATATTCAAAAGAAATTGTTGCCATGACATTTTCCCTCCCCAGACCCCGCACAGAGCGGGAGCTCTCTGCACTGGGTACGCCCTTTTATTTAGCTAAATCGAACTAAGTACATTATATAACCCATGATGGAGGACAGTTGATGCAAACTCAAATTCTCAAGTCATCTAGCATTACTCATTTTTACCACATCATACATAGCATTGCTTAAATGTTGTTTAAAAGGTCAAAACTACAGAATGAAGCACACAACAATCTAGAATCCAGCAGCCTTTTGCCAATGTATCCAGACAAAGATATCTGCATGAACTGGATATATTAGAAGAGCAAGCAATTGCAATACTCACCTCATTAAGTGGCATCATTTGCTATGCTCAATAGGTTTCCCGTGTACAAACCAATTCCAACACGGGACCCCATCTCTGCCACATCTGTATAAGTGTTGGTCCTTGGATTATAAATCCTCAACAATCCTCTAGATCCAATATAAGTAACTATGCTCCCATTCTTCAGTATCACCAAAGGATGTGCAAGGAATTCATCACGGACACTCAAATTGATCTCTACGGCATGTTTTTTGACCCATAAGCTCTTCTTAAAGTCCACCAGCAACCACAGGTCCATTGAAACATGTAACATACAATGGACCAGAACTAAGGATCCATTAAGGGCAGCCAGAGAAAGATTAGAATAGTAAGCAGGGATGCTTACAGGTCCTCGGAGAATTGACCTCCACTCTTCTGTTAGAAGGTCAAACGAAGCAATGCCTTTTGGTCGAACATGTCTGTTGATCAGATTCTCATCCAATAGAAAATGCACAACTCCATCGACGACGACTCTGCTCAGCGGGCTCATATTAACATGATTCTCAGCAGCCTTCTTTCCTCTCCACCGAGCATCACCGCTGCCACCGAGTGTGAAGACTTCGCACAGCTGCATGTAGCGGCTGTTGAAGAAGGCATTATCAATCACACGAAGCAACTTGAACTCCCCTGTCAAGGCAACCTGTCCCAATGCAACGGAAGCTCTGTAATTCATGAAGTCGAGCTTCCTTGGCGTGTGTTCCTGGGACAATCCTTCAGGCAAGGAAAATCTGTCTCCAGTGACTAGGTTGAGCAACTGGCAGCTCTTGCTTGTCCCTTTCGCGATGCAGGCGAGGTTGCGCTGGGTGGATATTAGCCACTCGTCCTCTGTCGAGCGGATGATCTGCTTAATGACCCGGCCTGAGAGGTCAATGATGTCGCAGAGGATGCCGTCATCACGATACGATTTGTCGTGGCCTGCGACGATGAGCGGCCGGCGGTGACGGGTGGCATGAGCGGCGATGAACTGCGGGTCGGAAAGGAGGGATCGCCACGGCCGACAGATGACACGGAGGCGGCAGACCTCCTTGGCTGGAAGGCGGATCAGGATCTCATAGAGCGTGTCGATAGGCAGGACGCCTTCCCCAGCTTCTGTCCTGGAGCGCAGAGTCGACGACGCCATAGCCGATGCTGGTAACAGCCGACCTGCAACCGCCAAAGAAAGATTTTCCATTTGTGATTGCACGGATCCCATGTATCAAACCAAAAACAAGAAGAGTTAAATGCATGACCAGACCTGAACTTGTATGGGGTGCTATTTAGTTCCACGAAATTTGAAAATGTATTGCACCTGCGGTGCTCCAATTTACAAATTTAGGGATGTGTGGTGCACTGCGTAACAACTTTGAGACTCAAAAAATGTATTGCAACCCCACACAAGTTCTTGGACCTAGCCACCTAGGTGTCATCTCTGTTAAGAGGCTGCCGATGCATTTAACTGTAACAAGAATCAGGCACACACACGAGTCACGACACGAGAAGGAATGGGGGTTCTGCAACCGCAGGTACACAACTAGAGCTTACCAAGCAAGCGCGGTGGAACCGAACCGGGATGGACCCGCCGCGGCTGAGCGTTCTAATCTCCCGCCGGTGGTAAGGTAGTTAGGTTAGCCTGCGCCGCCGCGGCTTCGCTTGACTGCGATGACGTGCGGCTGCGCAATGGAAGATTTCAGTGATTGGTGTCTGTTCTGGCCAAAATCCAACGGATGCGGTACATATTCCAACCGCTTACCAGCAGATCGCGACGGATTCGGGCGCCGCGCAGGGGAGTTGTTGTTCGGGGGTCGTTCCGGCGGGCACGAGGCGGTGATGCGCCGTGCGCAACCCTGCGCTGCGCCGAACTGTTGACCGGGGCGGCGAGCGGCTGGGCACGGTGCGCCGCGGAGGGGCGGCGCGGTGTGTGAGGAACTGTGAGGAGTGAGGACGACGCCGCTGAGGAGGAGCGGAGAGCGGACCGCCGACTGCCGAAGCAAACAGCAGCTGTCAGCAGCAACAAAGGAGAAAGAGACTTTTTCATGTGCCATATAAAAGATCACAATCATTTGTATGCCTCTGGAAAAATTCAGCGGTCTTCAGCGTCACTACTTTAATTTTTTCGAATCTTCCATGCCACTTTCAGGCTCGAACACCGTTAAACAGGTGTGAAAAGACGAAAATACCCTTAAGTTCAAATATATTATTAATTTTTTTAGCATCTTAATGACTTTAAATGAAAAAACTTAAAACTTTCTTGTAGATCTCATCGAGATCTATAATTTTCATATAAAAATTATTTTCATTTAATTCCGCTAAAAAAATATGATTTGATATGATTAATATATCTTAGAAAAATCATCATATTTTTTTGCGAAATTAAATGAAAATAAATTTTATATGAAAATTATAGATCTCGACGAGATCTACAACTTTCTAGTTTTGAGTTTTTTCATTTGAAGTCGTTAAGATGCTCAAAAAAATTAATAACATATTTGAACTTAAGGGTATTTTCGTCTTTTCACACCTGCGGTTTGACGGCGTTAGAGCCTGAACTGACGGAAGTGAAATAGAGGACTCGAAAAAGTTAGAGTAGTGGCGCTAAAGACCGCTGAATTTTTTCAGAGACACACGAAAAATTACGATCTTTTATAATGACACACATGAAAAAGTCTCCAAGCAGAAAGGAGTGGGCCGTGATGAAGCTTCTCGACTTCTTCGCGACTGGGTCAGTGGGCCACACCACCACACCACTGGTGCTAGATGTCCTTTATGCGTGGACCCACCTGTGAATATGCACGGAATTTCTACGTTCCTCCAGCACTCGTGAATACGCAAATTCCACGCCAATCAAGTGGTACTTTGGTTAAACTAGTTGAAGATGCATCTTTCATAATAATATAAAAATGATAATCAAAATTATATATCCAATTATTTGTTGGATGGGTGCTTGTTGTACAGCCGGGTTCGATGAAGGTCCTGTAGCTGCTTCTTGTTCTACCTTCGGTGATGAAGCTGCTGCTGTTGTTTCCTAGTTCTAGTTCTCATATTGATACCACCTCGTGAGAACTTATTAGCTTTCAGTGGGCTATGGTTCACATCCTTGTCGCATGATGAAGGTGATGATGTCGAATTCTTTCTTGCCTAAACTTCACCGGGACATAAGAGCTGAATGGTGTTCCGGAGTACAATAATGTTGATGGTGCACGTTATTCAGTTGCTGCAGAGTGGCAAACATTTAGTCAAAGCCTTTAGAGTTTATTGATCAAACACATGTTTTGTCGAGATTGCTCAGCTTTGAAGCGAGACTTACCTGATTATAATTGCTTGCATTTTGGACACCGTTTTCCGCACTTGGCTGCAGCATGTCTTAAGCATTTATGCAGAAGCTGTTGAAAAGAGTAGCAGCAATATGAGTTTCAGAAAAGTTTGCAGAGCAATGATGAAACTGATTTAAAATATTGAATAACATAATTACATCAAAGAATGTTCAATTCAAAAAAGTTACAGGTAACACCGGTACAATGAGCGAAACTTTAGGTTGGTGGACAATGTACAGATAAAACCAAATTAAATTGTTTTGCACATTAATATTCACTTATGATCAAATAAGCAAACTAACCAATCATGAATTAATCTGTTATTCAGGCCTCAATTCACTAATTCATAATAAAACAAGATGACTCAACATTCTGTGAAGGGGAGGCGCTTTTTTTTTTGAAACAAAAGGCAGGAGCTTTGCCGCTCAATTAAGACGAAAGAAAGTAATAATGTACAAGAAGGTTAGCCAACCGAATAGCCAAAATGGCACTCGAGGGGCTAACCACCCCACGCGACGCGATTGAGCACAAACACGACACACTGCCATGGATCATCATTGCCGAGCATGGAAGCAAAGTCGCGCCAGAGCTTGGACTTCCATGGCGAGCCACCCACCGGGTCACCTCCCGACGGGTCCAAAGGAACGACCGCCACCGGTCATCGTTGCCAAGCTCAACCATCGAAGAGCAGCTCCGACTTCCAGTCGCAAACCCATGCCTCGCATCGAGGCCGCGGCGATAATCCAGATGCTACGCCTTCAGGAAGGGAGCGACGCCGATGGCGCCACCGTCGCACGTCCAAAGTGGACCGGGTTTTCATCCTTGGATGACATGCTAGAGGGGAAACACGACGCCCCCAACAGGGAAGCGGCGCCCAATGGCGTCGCCGTCGCCAAGGCTTTCGCCCAAGAACCCTCTAGCACGAACGCCGGGTCGCGAAGCCGGACCCCTTGCCAGCTATCACCGCCATCGTCGCTGTCCCGCCGCCCCATGGAAGCCCCTTCAGAGGGGCATCGATGCGCCGGCTGCACGCAGCAGCTGCACAGCTGCGTCAGCCGTCACCCCCTCCGTCCAGGCCACGCATAGCCGGACCTGGCTCCGCCGCTCGCGTCCCAGTGCCGCACGACGAGGCCGCCACTGACCATCTTCGTCGGCCCAGGCACCCGCCGATGTCGCAGCCGACCTCGCCACCAGCCGCTACAGGGCGTGTGCCCCACCATCTCGGGCGCCGCCCCCTGCCCTGGGACCGCCGGATCCGGACACCAGGCCCTGAACCCGGCGCCCCATGCCGCCTTCGTCTTGACCACAACTGCAGGCACCGCCCGCCGCTGGCCCCGAAGGGGAGGCGCTTTCACCTCACACTGTAATAGCGGCCTCAGTTCAGAATGTTGGGAAGACATATACTGAACATCTACAGCACAAATTCGATTTTTAGTGATCAGCCAGACAAATAAAATTACGTACAAATAAAATCACATTATGCAGATCCAATAGTTTGAGAAAAGAACTGTCCATGGTGTAGTCAATCTGCAAATATAATCACATTCGATAAGCACAGAGCGGTTAATACATCAAACATGTTCGAGAAGAATGGCCGCTAGCCAGCTTGTATAGTTTCAGATGGCTATGTGTGCGAACTGAGAACATACCCACAGAGGTGATACTGATACGAAAATTAACATCATTAGTGACAGTAACAGATAATCTCAAGTGAAGTCAGACACAAACCTGCCTTGTGCCATATTTTCATATGTAGTTTCACAGGGCACTAAATCTCCATTATGCAACTTCTGAGATTGTGAGTGAGGAATTAGAAAATGTACTCTGATTAATTAAGTTGAGCTAAATAAAAGGCACTCTAGAGAAGTGTAAGCAGAAACTGCAAGACAAACTATGGATAAAGAATCACCTACATTCTTTGGCTTTTCTTTCTTTCTTTCTCTGTACCCTGATCCTCTCTGCTGCCTCTGCTTTCTGGCTGCTTGTTCTCCCTCTCTGATTTTTATGTAATCTGTACTATAATGTTTTTTTAATTTAATTACAGTAGGAGCCCCTGGCTCCTCCTGATTCCTCAAACAAAGTGCTAATTTAATTTTAGTTAGAAATATATGTTGGCATCAATACTCATCTGTTTCTCATTGCCGGTCGGCTTGTCTCGTCCCTTTCTAAACATAAAGATATAGAGCAGTGAGTGACCACAGAGCTGTTCATAATGATGGGTGTCTGAACTTGAGATTAAAGTATTAGTGTTGATCTCTCCAGCTCAACCCAACAGCCGAGTTGGGCCTTGACCTCGCGCCCTGATCGGGGGCGCCCAACCATACATGGTTGGTGGACCCCCATCGCACTGCACTATAAAGAGAGGTGGGGGCTGGCAGCTCTCTGTACGAGGTCCACCGTGAGCCGTCACACCCACCGACAAACCCTAACCCGATCTAGTGAGGGGCGCAGCCAGTGACGGGAAGCTTCACTGACGTATTCACCGTCGCCTCTGAGCCACCACTACACTGCGACCGACCTCGACGATGTCACCGCGACACCACCGACCATGGATGGCTCCAGCTCCTCCGCCAAACCCTCCGATGGTCGGTGACGTCTCACCTCTCACCCTCTCCTCTCTGTTGCTCTATTTTGACATGTACTAGGATGAACTACATCTTTTATCCCGAGTAGAAGAGGTTGTACCCACTAGATCTACTCCTATTGATCTTGTACATTCTAGCAATGGTATCAAAACGCTCGGGGGCAAGGGCAACGTCGCAAGGCCGCTCGACGGTGGCGCGCTCAGCCTCTGGCGAGCGCGCTCGCCGGCGAGGGGTCCCACGACGGC